ACAATGTAGAAGGATAAGATTTACTTTGGGTATTTAACTCTACAGTTTATAGCATTTGGGACTATCAAGCTCCTAAAATCCCATTTTTAATTTTTAACCCTAAATTAAAATATTTTTAGTAAGTAAACAAAAACTATTCTTTTCTCTTGATCGTTATCAAAAATGGTTTATTTTTTCTTAGTAAGCACGGGGCATTTTTTTCCTAAAACATCTATGAAATCTGCTATAATTACAAAACAATTTCAAAGACTGAACCAATTCGTAGGTAGCCCCCATTTTTGACTCTATCAGTGATTTTTGACTGTTTTGTTATGTCCCACTTATGACCAGAATCTGGGACAGCACATCTGAAGAAATCAAATAGCCTTCTCAGTTATATCATCATTCTGCACCTAAGTTCTGGGTCATTTTTTGCTGCCAGGACCATGCACCCAATGTATAATCTTTTTAATATGTTTTTCTTTAATGAGCACAAACCTTACTGGCTCCAACCTGCCTTTAACTAAATGATATACAATGACACTATCAGGTTGCACTTAATTCTATACCACATCTAGAACCATCTCAACTCAATGAGTAACAATTTTGTAAACAACACTGTCCAGTTTACATCTTCAGTTATATAAAAGTTTTTATACAATCAAAAAATTTAGCGGTAAACTTAATGAAGGGTTTGACTTGGCTGCATGCCAGAGCAACACCAGTAAGAAGCCAAACATAGAAAATTATAATTCTTATTCTAATCACTAAAGTAATATTTGGGCAGGCTAGCAGTTTGACTTATTGATTGGTAAAAAAAAAAATCATTATTTTTATTTATTATTTATTTTTATTTTTTAGAGGTTTTATTTATGTATTTTTAGAGAGAGGAAGAGAGAGAGAGAAACATTGATCAGTTGCCTCTCTTATGTGCCCCAGCTGAGGACCAAACACCACAACTCAGTCATGTGCCTTGACTGAAAATCTAACTGTTGACCTTCTGCTTTGTGGAATGACACCCAACCAACTGAGCCACACTGGTCAGGGCAAAATCATTATTTTTAAATATGATACACTCCAAATCAAATCAACATATTGGAAAATGAGAAACTGGCTCAAGGCTTCAAATTCCATTACAATATTGTGAACATATATTGGATTTGGACCTGAAATTTAATGTATGGTTTTGACAGCCTTTGAGTTTCATGCCAATAGTCTGTTGACGAAAATGACATTGATTTAATTTAGTCTCAAAATTTTCAAGCCAAAATCAATTTGCTGGCATTTCCAATAATTGTGATACAGTTTAACTTATAGGAAGACCCTAAATTAGCATGGTCCTCACCTCCTACTAGAATTTCCTACCTAGAATTTTAAGAGAATAGAAAAAGGGTCAACAGACATATTATCATCATTCTTGTCCTTTGCTATAATTCAAAAGCTTAACAAAAACCCACAATAAAAATCCAAGGCAAATGCAAGTATAGGTCACCGACTCTACAACACTCTTTTGAGTTACATATCATAAAACAGTCTTACAATGAAATCAACATAACCAGCTTTTCTTAGTTTCTACCATCCTTGGCAAGAGCCAAGACAGACTCACATTATGTTACATTCTGTACTGAAGTGATTACATTACTGGGAGGACCCAATGTTTGGTGAAGTAAAAGAGCATGTCAATACGGAAACATAAAGTCCAGACTCTGCTTAAGATCCAATGATGGTGCTGTGTGCACAGGAGGAGAGGGTGCAAGAATATTTACACCACAGGTCTGTCACAAATCCATAGCTATATATTTAGATGGCAAATTAACCAGAGGCAGCATGTAAACACTGAACTGTTCTCCAAGTGTGCCTGCCCGTGCTCTCCTATTTTTAGTTAACTTCTTGATTTCTCAAAGCCAAAAGAACCACAAGACCTAAAGAATCACTGTCATGATTACCCTTAGCCAAGTGGCTCTTTTTGTTCTTGCCCAACTATTATCCCTCACTGTCTTGTATCACACTCTTAGAGCAAAAAGAAACAAAACTAGATTTCAAAAGTTTCCAAAACTACATACAAGCAAAAATTTAAAAACACAGATACATCATTATGTAAATAAGTAGTATCTAATTTGTAAGCAAATACAAACACTCGAGAGAAAATGAAAAAAAAAATTTAAGTTCCCTCAATTTCTGCAAAAACTAAAACATTTAATCTGGGCATGATACTGTAGTCACTCCCTGTAATCTAGATCCATTAAATGAATTACGCTTAGCTCATACTGTATTTTTCCACTAATGCCACAATCTTTAAAAAGAACTTCATTGGTAATTTAGCAGAATATGGATTTGTATTCACATCTCAAATAGGTCAGTTTGATGTACAAAATAATCAAGGCTACAGAGGCTTAAAATTTAAAAAATGAATTCAACTTTCACAAACAATATACCATCATATAAAACAATGAAGACAGTAACATTTCCATCCATAAGTTAACAGCTATGCTAGGTATGCCTTACTATTAACACCAAACATTATATCAGGCCTGTGGATAAGAATTTTTGAAAGAATAGCTACTAGTTAATATGGTCACTCTTATAATACAAAATAATAATAATATTCATTACAACATTTGTGATTGAACAGCTTCTCATTAACAGTGTTCAAATTTCAATTCTCAGAAAAACCATGACAACGTCTCTAAATCAGCAAAACTATGGCAAATTTTTTAAAAAGCATTGAAGCTCTAGCAATTAGTGAAATAAAAATGTTTACAAGTAGCTGTTCAGACTAAATGAAAGTCTTTGAAGAATAGAATAAGTGCCACTGAAATCAAAACTGATTTATCTAAATATGTCTGTATGTTCTGCCACTTCAGTCATGGTGGCTTCCTTTTGGACTAATACAGATTTTTTTGCCTTAGAGAAACTTCTCTACCATTAAACTGATTTTCTTTATAACTAAGTAATTGTGAGAACTGTCAAAGGAAAACAAAAACAAAATAACTATTCGGCATGCTGATACTTTAATTGTACAACTCCATCTAACAGTTTCTTGCTTTAATTTTGCAGTAACATTAAGATGTTACTCAACAGATGTTACCTAAATTTTTACATGCCAAAACTTATTGAGAACTAAGTATGAAGACAAGGTCTCCAGAGGATCTCAGTCTGGTGAGGATAAACTGAAACATAAACAATAGAGATACTATGTAAACTTCTTAATTAAAGACCAATTAAAAAAGGGAGTTAATCTTTTGACAACAGCTAAAAGCAAAGCTACAAATTCATCTCTCCTTTAATTAAATAATTACTAGTCCACTGAGCATTCGAAGATATTACATATATACTCTCTATATAAACTAAAAGCTTGTTGCAATCAGTAAATTATCGTCTCATGAAGAATAAACAGTTGATACCCATTCAGAGTAGAAATACTTGATGGAAAGTTTGTTTTGAAATGGCCAACAACTTTGCAAAACTTATAATTAGATAGAAGTTGTAAACATAAAACAACATATGAGATGTGGCTAAAGTAAAAGATTTCATAAAGCCATGTTAGAATTTAACAATTACAAAAGGAAGTTAACTTATTTATACTCAAGCAAATGTAAATATTACGATAATGATTTTTCTGGCACAATTATGGTTTTGGGACTATTTCTTCTATGAAAAACACTGTGTACCCACCTATCCCAGTTCTGTTAACTCCCAACTACAAGCATCCTCCATTCTTGTTTTTCTAGATCACTCTACTAAAAATATTATTTATACAATACCTGCAATGTTGCATTAATATTGGTCCTGCATTTATGTCAAGAGGTCTCCTCTAATTTTCAAGAGATAACGCCAATTCTAGAGTTATGGGTAAGAGGAGGATCTGGTAGGCTCCTGAACTGTGGTGATTTCACATATAGTTTTACGTACCCAGACACCTGCATTGACCGTATTTTTACCCTGTGGTAAATATGTGTCAAGTCAAGCTGTCAAAGTGGACATGGTCAATACTGACTATCTATAAAATATAAGCGTCCATATTTTTGTTCCGAGGTTTACTTTTAAATGTACACGTAATGTATTAAACATTTCTTTAAGGCTCTAAAATTCTCTGGTATTTAACATAAACTTAAATTGTAAAAAGAAATACAAAGAAAAAAAGAAACATGCTGTTAAATGAAATCCAAATGGTATCTTCATTTCCAGAATCACTTCTTTCACCACTTTTCCTTACATCAGTTCCCTTTTCACAATTTCCTTAGTCCTTCTGGCAAATCAGTGTTTAACACCGCTCCTCCCACCCCAGATTTTAAAAGGACCCACTGCCCACAAACGAGAATCCCCCATAATCCAAGTATATTACCCTAGTGATCTTCGATGATTTGAAAGACACCTGTGAAAATGCCCAAGCCCTAAATTAGATCCCCAAGGGCTCCTTTTCTTTTTAATTCCACTTATTTTTTTCTGGCCCTTTGTACCAGACGACTTCACATCCGATACCCCTCCCTCTTCCAGTCAAACCGAAATCCTTCTCCTAATTACCACCATCCCACTTTGGTCAGCTGTCTAGTCAGTCCCAACCTGGTTCCGTCTCTTTCGCCTCGTGGTAACCTCAGCCCTAGGCCCGCTCCTCCGATCCCTCGCCCTCACTGCCAAATCCTAGAGCATCTCTTCCTCCGGCCCCCCATTCCCGCGGGATCCCTTCGATTTCAATCTCTCACTACCCTGCTCTCAAAAACCTCGAAGCCCTTGCCTTTTCAAGGCTACATCTACCTCACTCTCCCACTCCCTCTTGCCCCTGAACGTCCACTTACCCCTCAGCCTCTAGCCATCGCCATCCCCCTCAGGCCCTCGCTCAACAGCCTCCATTTCCTTCAGATTCCATTCTAGAGCTGCCTCTCTGGGCTCCCTCAACCGTCTCCCGTGGCCCCTCCGGAACCTGTCCTCCGCAGCCCCCGGTTTCATCTCTGACAGCCCACTCACCCCTGCCTGCAGGTGCCCTCCAAATTCCCCTCTCCCCAGCCACAGATCCCGCTCACCTCCGCAGCCCGAGAGGGGCTGCCCGGACCCACCTCCGTGTCGGCTTCCGAGCCGCCGTCGGAGTCCGGGGCCCTCTGAGCCCCGCCGGCGGGGACCGCCTCGAGAGGCGGGGGCGGAGCCCGGGGAGGGGACCGGGAGTGGAGGCGCGGACGGTGGCGGCTGCGCGCAGGCATTGCTGCTGCCCGAATCTCCGCGAGTCAGTCCACAGCTCGCAATTAAAACCGGAACTACATGGGGAGGCGGGGCCCTGTTGGAGGGAGGCGGGGCCCTAAGGGCGAGGGGCGGTGCCAAAACCGGAAGAGACGCGAGCCTCAGGATGAGAGCGAGAGAACCACAGCAAGAAAACCCAACAGCGCAGGCGTCAAACCCGAAGCGAGCCGATAAAGCCTAAGGAGGCTAGTGAAAATGGGGCGGGGTCGACGGGATTAGTAAATGGGGTTTGAGGACAAAGAAATTATCCTAATTCCTCTGGAGGGAGCTAGCTCCTCTCCAAGGGCCAACTCACAATGATCATTGTTATCATTTATTGCCCCTTTACTCTCTGACAGTCCAAATTACATGTAAATGTCTCACTTAATCCTTGTGCCAACTCAACGCGGCCAAGAGACTTGTCTGAATTACGGCAATTCATACGTGCCAAAGTCAGCATTCCTACTCAAATCTGACTTGAGTAATAAACCTACTCAAATCTGTGTCAAACTTTAGAACCCATGCTCTTGTCACTCCACTATACTACCCTGCTGGAACTCGCCCAACCTACCTATACCTAGCATTGGCATAAACCAAGTCCAAAACCACCTGTGACCTGGGCTCCAGCCCCCACATTGGTCTTGCATCCCAAGCAATGCAAGGCAGACTTCGGTGGCTCTGATGGAGGTGGGAACAGGTTCTGGGATGGACATGCTTACATGGGATGTCCTGGTGTGGGCTTTACCCTCAAGTTGGACTCAAGGCCAAGGGCAGGAGGGAGGCTTCCCACTACAGCTGGTACTTCTCCCAGCCCCATCAGGGCCTTTAGGAAGTCATCTTGAGACATCTCATTTCTCTTGCCAATAACTAACTCTGGCAGGAGGACAGATACAGACCTTTTTCAGTTTCTATTGTGAAGACTAAAGCCCTTAGAATTACAGGAATCTCCCTCCCAATCCAAAAATGTTTCTGATGACAGGCCCTTAGGCTCTTCAGAAAGTCTAGGGCAGCATTCACCTCCTTTCTTCCCTTTTGACATACATGGCCCATTTTAGCCTTCTCTTATGAGAAATCAGTCATCTTCATTACAGAATCATTGTTCCAACCTTCACCCATAAACCCTGTGAGCACCCTTTAAATGAGGTCCTCCGTGCCTCTTCTCCATAGTTCTCTGACTCTACAATTCAGGAAACTTCCTCTGAGCCCCAGAATCTAGAGACTCGTCCAACAGCCATAAGGTTCCCACCCAGACCTGCAGAATTTTTTCTATCATTCATCCTCGGAGTCAACTACTTCCTCTCCACCCTGAATCTCTACTTTAGCTCAGTCCTGATAATCAAATAGCCTGTTCAGGCCTCTAAACTTGGTTTTTTTTGTTTGTTTGTTTGTTTGTTTGTTTGTTTGTTTAAAGTTGCTTAGGCATATACTATGTGTTAGAGACAGAATATCCTTTGTTTCGTATAATCCTCGTAATTCTTTGAGGTAGGTATAATTACCCTTACTTTGTGGGTGAAGACACTGAGGTGAAGAGGTAAGGTGGTTTGCAGAGGTATGTCTGATTCCATGTGGTCACGGAGTTTGGGGTGGGGGGGGTGACTTGGTGAGGAAAATGTCCTGTTCTTTCTGGAGGCCCCTGTGACTTGCTGAGTCACTTCCTTCTGTTCCACCTGTTTCTGCCAATCTCCGGGAAGGAGAAATGACACTGGAGAGGCAGAGACAAGTGACTGCAGAGACAGAGGAGTGGGTGGACTGGCCCATGGCTGAGGCCTCGCTCCCAGACCTGAGGGAACATACCGAAGCCACTTCTTGCCCCAGTGTCCTGGAACTGGAGGAGCTCCTGAGGGCAGGGAAAATTTCTTCTTGCAGCCGGGTGGATGAAGTTTGGCCCAACCTTTACATAGGAGATGCGTGAGTGGTGGCTGGCCTAGGGGGTGTGTGGCGGGGAACAAGAAGAGACAGTTCCTGGGCTCTTTACCAGAGATAGGTGTGGGATGGGAACACGGAGAAACAGTTCTGCAATGAGCATCCTAGGCCAGGGACTTTCTCCTGGACCCCTGTGTACTGGGGACAGTGCAGTGACCATATGTGGCCACCAGGGGGAGCAGAGGCTTTGCGTGCCTGAAAGAAAGGAGCTCCCAGAAGTTCCTGAAATCTGCTGGCACACGCAGAACACCTGGGGAGTCTGCCGGCGGGAGGGGGCGGGGCGGAGGGGGGGCGAGGCCTGGGGAATGGTGATTAGGGGTATGAAATAGATTGGACAGAGAGCTACCCTTCCTGGTCCTAGCCTCTCTACCCTGGACACAGAAGGTGAGGAAGCCTGACTAAGGGTGAATCAGGAAAGATGTCACCTCTAAACATTTTCAGCGTAGAAGTAGGTATGACGTAGTGGCCAGAAGAGGCGGGAAGTGTGTGGGAAGGCATGGGGCAGAAAGGAAGGGAGGGGCAGCTAGGTCTTAGGGGTGAGGCAACCCTCTCCTTCCTGTTCTAGCCAAGGCAGGGGCAAGGATCTAAGGAAGCAAAGATACTTCAAGATACTTGCTCTAGCACCAACTCTCCCACCAGGAAGCTCTGGGGGTGGCGCTGTGAGCTGTGGATCCCAGCTCAACCTTGCTGGGTTCCTTTCAGCTCCCTTTGGTCTCCAATGGCTTCATCCCTCTGAAGTAGGGAGCCAGGGAGCCTGGCAAAACCTCTTTCCTGGACCCCCTGGCTCAGCATCCAGCATCCAGCCACTTTCCTCCCCTCCCCAGGGCCACCGCAAATAACCGCTTTGAGCTATGGAAGCTGGGCATCACCCATGTGCTGAACGCCGCCCATGGGGGCCTCTACTGTCAGGGTGGCCCTGACTTCTACGGCAGCAGTGTGAGCTATCTTGGGGTGCCAGCCCACGACCTCCCTGACTTCGACATCAGTGCGTACTTCTCTTCTGCAGCTGACTTCATTCACCGTGCCCTCAACACACCCGGGGGTAGGACTTGGGGTCTGATCTTATATTCCGTCCTGGGGGGATGTCCAGTTTCCCTTCCAACATCAGTGCCCTCCCATCCCTTGTTTGTTTGTTTGTTTGTTTGTTTGTTTGTTTGTTTTAAACTCTAAGAGAAAGTTTATCCAGAAAGTCAGAGGTAGAAGTGAGCAATAGAAGACATGGGCTCAGGAAACAAGCCACTGAGACAACAGACGGGCCCCCTGGAGCCCATGAGAGAGAGGCAAGGAAAACGTCCTGGGGAAAGGGGCAGGGAAAGGTGCAGTGCACTCCACAGAGAGAGCGCCACCGGGTTTTCCGTTCATAGGGCCTCTGTCCGAAAGCCTCGGGAAGACCCCACCATCCCTCGTTTTTAAAGAACCATCAGGTTTTTAAAAATCCTCTGCTCAATGCTTCAGTCATTTATCCAACTTCATTGGTTCACATATGGGGAAACTGAGGCTTAGAATACAAGGCCAAGCCACGAGTTAGGAGCAGCCTTGGAGTTGAAAGCCAGGCCTCCCAAACAGCGAAACGGTTCTTTTCCTGCATGACTCAGCCTTGGAAAATCGCCATTTGGTACCTAGATGTCTGGTTTCTGCCCCAAAGTACTTTTAAGTGGGAGAAAAAAAAACCCCAAAACCTAATACCCAGGGGACAACAAGGGATCTGGGGAAAGCCGAGTCCCTATTCTGTGTTTTTCCTGGGTGAGAGCTGTGCTCCTTGCTGCTTGAACATGGGCAAGGCAGCATCCCTCTCTGGACTTCAGCTTCTCATCAGTGCAGCGGCAGAGACAAGACTATGTATGGCTCATAGCACTTCATAATATCCAAGGCACTTTGACATTCATTTGCTCTTCATCCATTCACTCACCAGCTATTTCTTATTTTCTCTGTGTCAGGCACTGAGCTAGATACTGGGAATTTACACTTAGATAAGACAGGGTTCCTGCCCTCACAGAACTTATTATATGTTGGGTGGAAACACAGTCAAAATGTAAAATATGAGTGCTACTCATGTGAATGAGGAAATGTGAAGAGCTATGGGAGCAAGGGCAGGGGTGCTCAATTCAGAGGATCAGGGAGGTAGGGAGACTTCCCTCTACAACAGTATTCACTGAGCCACATGCAAAAGGGATGAGCTCCTCTGTGATTCAAATGATACCATGAGTGGTCAGGAAAGCCTGTGTGAGGAAGTCATGTCTCAGCTGAAGCCTGACAGATGAGTAGTAGATGTTAGTCAGATCAAAAGAAGGGAAAAAGATTTACAAGGAGTTGGAATAGCACGTGCTAAGGCTGGAGGCCAGAGTCCATGACAGCGTCAAGAAACCGAAAGTTGCCCTGTGTTCGTAGAGCTGAAGGTTGCAGTGGGACAGTCTGAGGTGAAGCTGCAGGATCAGCAGGGGCCAGTTCATGGAGGGTCTTATAAGCTATGCTAAGGACTTTAGACCCCATTCTACGGGTAGGCAAAATAGGTGTTGGTTTACCCATTTGGCAGATCAAGAAACAGATCCATAAAGCCTGAATGATTTGCCCAGGGTTTTTCACAGAGGACACCCAAGGCAGAGCAGAGAAAGGAACTTGGGTCCCCACCCCAGCACCTGGGTGGGCCTGCTGGTGGGAAGGGTCTCTCACCAGGATGTCTTCTTCAGCCAAGGTCCTGGTGCACTGTGTGGTAGGTGTGAGCCGCTCCGCCACACTGGTCCTGGCCTACCTCATGCTACACCAGCAGATGTCCCTGCGCCAGGCAGTGATCACCGTGAGGCAGCACCGATGGGTCTTCCCCAACCGAGGCTTCCTTCACCAGCTCTGCCAGCTGGACCAGAAGCTGCAGGGTGCAGGCCGGAGCTAAGGGGCCAGGTGAGGGCTGGGCAGGGTGTGAGGGGGCAAGAGGGCAAGGCTGAGTGCGGTTAGAAGTGAGAGGTCAGGTGAGAGCTGGGCAGAGAACATGGAGGGAGGCCAATGAAGGCTGGAAATAAAAGATCAGGAGAGGGTTGGTAGGGATCATGGGATGCAACCAGTTCAGAGGTCAGTTGTCAGAGTTGTGTCTGGCTGGATGTGGCCCACTCTTCAAACTGCTGGGCTCCCCTCGCCAACCCAAGGTCTTACCAGGGCCCAGCCAAGATAAGCCTCTGGTAGGGCCCTCTCTCTTTCCCATCCTACCCAGATTCTTCAGACCCCAGGAAGGATGGAAAGGCTAGGAGAGAGGGGTGGAACCCACAAAATGGAAGAGGAAGAGGTGAGCCCTTCCAGCCCGGTCCTGGTGCTGACCTGACCTGCCTCCTTGGCCTGCAGTGGGGCTCACCTAAACGCCACCAAGGCAGCAGCCCAGGCAGTCCTGGCACCTGCGGGCTGTCTGAATCTTCCCACACTTCTGCATCCCTCTCCTTCAGCTCTGAGGGACAAGTTGCTGCAGCTCTGAGTTTAGTCGATTCTCATGTCAGCCCTGCCTCGCCGTTCCCATGTGGGGAAGGAGAACAGGTGCTCCTGCCACGAGCCACGCCCCCCTCACCCAGCCCTGCTGATCTAAAACTCTCCTGTCATCACACCAGTCTGTCCTCTGCCTTAGACACAGCACTCCACTCCCTACATGCCCCTACCCAGTCTGACCTCAGAGATCAACAGAAAGACTCTCCCTAACCTGCCTCACTCTCTGGTTCTGGGGACCCCTTTAGGACCCAAAGGTCTTACTAAAGTCTCTCCAGACTCCTTCCTGCTTCCTGCCTTCTTGTTCTGTGTTCAGTGCATTTGGAGCAATGTCACAAGGGAACCAGGTCCCTAATACCTCCTCTCCCAAGCCGCTCCCCTTCTGTTGGAGGCCCCCGTGTCCCCAGCTGCCCAGTAGGAGGAGTTGGGCTACCCCAGCAACAACTCTGCTTCTCAGGCCACCAGTGGTCCCTGAGGTGCGGCTTTCATTTCTTTGGCATCAGCCCTGTGCTTTCCTCCAGCTCAGCTGGGAGGGGGCAAGGGTGTCTCTGGAATGGCACCAGGATTGGGAGGTAGCCGCAGAGTACCTACTGCCCTTCTCCCACCACACCGTGGCTGGGTCTGTCCCTGGCCGGCCCCACCAGCCTGCCTTCCTCACATTCACATCCTGGGGGCCATCAGCTGTAGGGTTAGGCCTCCAGAGCTACTGTCTACTTCCCTGCTCCTGCTACCCCTACTGCTCCCTCCCTTGACTCTCCGTATCCTTTGGCTGTGCCACACTACCCACTGGCTCAAAGGGGCTGTCAACAGAGGGTGGGTGACTGGCCTGGGCTCTCCTGGTAGCTAGAAGAGTGATAGCTTTCTCCTCCTGCCAAGAGCTTCCCAGGGCATGGCCTGAATCCTGTTTTGGTGTCTGGATTCCTAGCCAGCCCAGCCAAGGGGGAGCATGTTAGTAATTCCACCCGTTAGGAGGATGGGCATCTTGGGGACAGGGATTAGGGCAGGGTGAAGGACTAGGTTTAGAATTTGGGGGTGAGTACAAAGGAAGAAAATTAGGGTTATGGCTGGAGTTGGGACTAGGTCCAGGGTTAAGCTGGGTGGAAAACTTATAGGGAGCTCTGCTGGTGTGGGGAGCCAAGAGGCCTGCAGGAATGTGTGCCTGCCCCCCAACCCCCGCATTCTTTCCTCTAACAGGTTTCAGGAACCTGGCAGAGCAGCAGGTCTCTGATCATACCCAGTCACCCCATTTCCTCAGCCTGAGGTTCTTAAAAGCCCTGACCTCAAACCTCAGCATCTTTCCCATCAGGCACCTGGCTTCGGGGGAGTCATTGGGCTACAGCATTGAACATCCTTGGGGGTGCCATCCACCAAACAGTCTGCACAACCGGACCCCCCAGGAGTGTGCAGTGCAGCCATAAACAGCAGCCCCAGGGCTGGGACTCTGAATGATGAGGGGCTGTGGAGGGAGGTCAGCTCTCTCCATGAGCCCTGGGCCCCCAACCTGCCTCCTCCTCTCTCTCAGCACCTCTTGACCTTGCCCAGAGGGCTCAAAGCAGAAGCAGGTTTAGGTGGCAGCTCCCACTCCTGACCCAATGATATGGCCCCAGCCAGTCTGGGCCTTGGTTTACTTGCCTGTGACATGGAGCTCATCTCTTCCCCAGAGCCGATCCTCAGTTCCTGCCATGGGGATCTGCCACTTTGCCACCCTGGCACTGGCCCTGCTGGTGCTGCTGGGGGCTCGGGCCCAGGTGGACACCCAGAAGATGGTAAGAGCCCAGTGTGCGGTCCGCCCTCCGGCCTGCCACCCCATCCGCTTCCTCCGGCTGCCTGCACTTTCCCTCAGCCACTGTCTTCAGTCCCCACAGGTGGGAATGGGCTGCCCTCTCAGCTAAGCCCTGAAGCTCCTTGGCCAGGGACCCCAACATTCCTTGGAGGGGGTGGGGGGAGCCTGGGAGGAGAGCTGGAGGGGACTGTGATTGCTCATGATAGCCCTTGGCCACAGCTCCTCCGCCCACTCTCCCTAAGGCTTGGGGAGCCCCAGCAGGGGCTGAGCCTTACTCCCTGGAGCTCAGACCTCCGAGACCCATGTAGGTATGGCGGCAGGCATGCATATGTCTCTGTGCGCATGTTGTCTGGGACTGTGAGTGGGAAAGATTACTGAAGTTTGGGTACGTGAGGAGGGTCTCAGGAGAGCAGCGAGGGTTCTTAATAGGCCCAAATCGAAGGTCTCAGATTTGTAACAGTTGACGTTAGGAAGAACCTTGAAAACCATTTCACTGGCCTCAAGGGAGAGTGGGACCTCGTCCAGGAAAGCCTTCTGGGGGAAGGAGGACCTCAACAGAGGGTAGAGTGGCTTCTGGACACACAGCTCCTGACCGCAGGCCAGGGCTGGTCAAAACACCTGCTCTAAACCCCACGTACACCTTTGTCTGTCTCCCCATACTTTCCTCAGCCTGAGTCTTCTAGGTCTTAGTCCTGGGCAGGTCCAGTAATCCATAGCCCCCAACTAAAGCCCTTGGACCTGGGTTCTTAAGTTGGCAGTGCCAACAATTTGTGTGTGACTTTGGCTGGTGTCCTCCCTGTCCTCCTCCATAGAAGATCCTTCCAGCTTTAACTTCCTGCCCTTACTCCTCACCACCCTCGAAGGCCAAGGGAGCTTATAAAATGGCCCTGTAATCAACATACACATGCACACATATCACAGGCCTCCCCCATCCGGCCGCCTCTACTGGAGCAAGGCCGGGTGCCTGGCTGGGTGTGGCACTGGCCATGCCATGGGACCAGTGGGTGAGAGTGGCAGGTGGAGGCCAGGAGACGGGAGCAGCACATCATGCTTTATAATTAAACTCAAATCAAAAAATAGAAACAGCATCAAGTGTGCAGAGACAAGCGGCTGGAAGTCGGCAGCACAAAGTGCCTGTTAGAGAAGACCGCAGCCTGGGCCAGATACCCCCACAGGTGGGTGAGTGCCTCTGTTTCAGGGGGGCACAGAGCGTGCTGGGCAGCGAGGGCCAGGGCACCTGTGTCTGCGTGTATTGTAGCGGGGGCAGGGGACGTATTGGCTTGGATTGGGGGATGGACTGGGTCAGAGATAGAGGCACAGACAAAGCATAGTAGAGTCAGAAAGACCTGAGCTTGAATCTTGGCTCCCATGCTTATTGGCTGTGCGACCTTGGGTATATTGCTTAATCTCCCTGAGTCTCAGTTTCCTTATCTGTAAAGTGGGGATAATAATATTATCTGCCTCATAAAGGTACCGTGAGGATTCAAGGAGACAATGTAAGCACTTAGCTCTTTCTGGTACATAGTACATCCTTAGAAAGTGGCGAATATAATAATAATCATCACCAGACAGAGAAAGGAACATCAGGAAACACAGAATAAAGACCAAGCCTCACTGTCCCATGGGAAAGTTATCCTCCACCCAGAATATGGCTGGGGCTTGAATGGGTAATGGTAATAATAGTAGTGGTAATAATAGTATCGTAAGATGCGCCACTTATTGGGCACCTACCATGAGGGAGACCCTGTGGGGAGTGCCTTATATTTATGACCTTGTGGGATCCCCACCACAGCCCCACTGAGGACATGGCTCAGAGAAGCACACACAGACACAAGCGCCAGACGCAAGAACTCTGCCCAGGGCTGCCCTCCTCCAAGGTCTGCACACCAAGTGCACAAACCCACTGGCAGATCACCGTGGGCAGCCCACCTGCCTCCCTCCCCAAGGCTTCCTTCACCAGACTCCTCAGAGATCTCTGGCCTTACCTGTCCTGTGCTCACAGTCCCATCTGATCTGTCTGGGGAGGAGGAGGAGGAGGAAGCAGAGAGAGTGAGCAGAAGGGAAGACCAGGGGGAGTATCTCCTGGAGTGGCAGCTGAGGAGAGGGGTGGCGAACAGCCGCCCCCTGCCCCTAGAAGGCCTGTGCCTTGGCCCGAGGCCGCCGGCATGCAGGGTGTGCTGGGAGGCTTGGAGCAGCAGGAACTCCTGTGAGAGAGTTGGAGGAAGAAGCAGCCAGAAAAGAGATGCAGAGAGGAGGAGAGACAGACAGAAAACAAGTATCTGAACTTGTCAACAGCAGCAACACAAGAGCAGACAAGCTGCTGCCTACGGAGGCAGCTGTTCAGCTTAAAGGGGAGATGCAGAAAGGAGGCTGAATGAGGGTTAGAGTGAATGGGGAGAAAAGCCAAGCCAGCCCTGTCTCTGCTAAAGGTCGGGCCCTGCTTCACCCTCAGGTGGCTGAGGAGGTGTGGAAGTGGCGGGCAGGGTCCTTGGCAGTCCAGGTGTGTGGGTGGCACAAACCAGGGGAGCTGCAGCAGCCACAAACTCCCCTTCCGTGGGTGTGCCTGGAGATTGAAGGGTGAGTCAAAGGGCAAGGGTCTGGGCCTGACTCAGCTGGCAAAAGTGGGATGGAGAAGACAAATGGGAGATGCATTCACGAGGATCAGGAAAGAAGCCCCAGCTGGGACCTGACAAGGAGTACCCCTTAATCCAAGGGAAAAGCACCTTTCTCCAGACCTGGGCATAGGTCCCCTAGGAGGCTGAGATGGGGTCTGTGGGTTAGGAGCCCCCAATCCTTGATCCCTCTGTTATGTCCTCCTCTGCCCAGGAGCCTCCTGGAGGAGCAGGGTCCAGCTCTCAACTGACGCCTGGCCTCCTACTCCCAGGCACAGCTGGACTGTAAGGCACCTACTGGCCACTAGGGGGCAGCCTTACCCCACACCAAGCTCAGAGGACTGAGCCCACGCCTGCCAGGCTTCCCCAAGCTTTATCTGCTGTGCTTGAGGCTCTCGCACCAACTGGCGGCTCCGGACCAGTGTGGCTTTTGAGTGATCCTGGGGCCTGGGGGCTTACCCCACCCTAACACACTACACCTCTGTCTACCCTGTAGTTGCTGAATACCCAGTCTCTCCTCCCTTATTCTCAGGTCAGACAGCCAGAGACTCCTCAGTCAAGCCAGACAGGATATTTAAAATGAGAAGAGAACCGTGGCAAGACATGAGCAAAGACTTGCTCGGGCCACAGAATAGACGGTGGCCAGACTCTACTCCCTCTTCTCTTCCCACCACGTCAGGCAGCAGCCTCCCATCTCCATGGGGAGCTCCAGGCCCTAGAGCCTTTAATCCCAAAGAGCTGCCCAGCAGAGAGAAAGCCCAGAGTTTGGCAGGACTGTGCTTCCCTCCATGGAGGCCTAGGTCTGCTCTCATGCCTGACCCCCTCATGGGCTCATTCCAAGAGGAGGACCTGGAATTCTAGCCGCTTCACAGCATTTGTGTTCTGGGCGGAACCGCCCCAGCCTCATTCCGCTCCCATGCTTTGTCTTGGCCCTGCCCCTATTCCCCCACTCCTGGCCCCAGACCATGTTCTAGGTAGGTGGCAGGCCACTCAGCCTGCCCTGAGAGATCACAGTGGGGTATGAGGGAGAAAGCTGGGTCTTCACTTCCGCCCTGCACGCCAGCTGCCCACTGTGTGAGCTTGGCCAAGCCAGTGGCCTCTTGGGTGCCTATTTCTCTTTCTGGTCCTGGCACCGCCTACCAAAGAGAAAAGATGTTTTTTCCAGTTTATACCTTCCATAGATACTGGTTGAGGGGGCTAGGGACAGTTAACCAAGATAGGCACTCCTTCCCAGCACGGCACCGGACCCAAGTTCTGGTGCCACTGACATCCCAGCTCTGCAGGGCCCCGGACTCTCTCAACCAGCTGACTCCTAAGACAGCCCACCCCACCTGGGTGAGATCTGACCTGCAGCGCTGGCCTGAGTCATGGGGGTAAGGAGGAAAGTCCCAGGACTTATAGGCATGTGTGTAGCAGCAACACCAGGCTCCCCTGCAGAGTTGAATGGGTTACCGACCACTCTCTGGAGTCCCCAAAGATGGTAACTGGAAGGCTTGGGGACTGAACTGCAGGATCACAGAACTGGATTGACACCACAGCTTTGCTGCATATCAGCCATATTGTTTTGGGTATCACTTAAAAAAATCTCTCTTTGAGCTTCAGCTCCTTCTAGTGCCACAAGTGAGTCACTAGGACCCTGAAAGGCATTAGCCCGTCCTGCATGGAAATGCTAACAAATGTCATTCATAGCCCAGGCTGCTCACTCCAGAAATGGGCTCTGTTCTCCAAGCACCTGAAAATGAGAGCCTGATGAGTGGGGGCCTGAGGGCCAGCCCTGGAAGAAGCAGAGGAGGGGGCTTAAGATGAGCAACCCCCATTGTGAGGAGACACGGCCATCTGAGGTCTCCAACCCTACAAAGCCCTAAGTGACCAGTGACTTAAGGGGTTGGGTCTGCACTGATTCATTACCACTAACAAGAAGCTCCAAGGACCCCCTGGCCAAAGTTTCTTACCTCAGGGCCTCTAGAGAGGCCAGGAGAGAGAGTAACAAGGGGTTGATTGTTCCTTGGGAAAGGGTCTCGGCCTCAGCCCCAGCTGAGCTGGTAAATAACCTCATACAAACTAGCGGAGGCCCTTCTCGCCTCATCGCACTGCCCCCTGGGCTCTGCGCCACGCCTGGGCCTCTGGGTCAGGTGGACCCACCTTCCGAAAGCATGCCTCCAGCCACCGCGGTGTCTACCCTGTTCTAGGATGGACTCCCTGCAAAAGCGGGACCTCCGGAGGCCCAAGATCCACAGGACAGGCCCAGTGTCCCCCTACCAGCCACCTACGCTGTCCTCACTGCAGCGCTTGCTGTGGGTCCGGCGGCCTGCCACACTGAGCCACATCAATGAGGTCTGGCCCAACCTCTTCCTGGGAGATGCGTAAGTACGGCCCATGTGGGAGAGTGGGAGAGCAGCCGGGGAGCCTGCGTGGGCACAGGTGGCACCCCTCTTTGCCTCCCATGATCTCTTTCCACATGTTTCTTCTCTTTTACAGAAATTATTCTTTTAGTTGTGGAAGTAGAACCCTCATAAGAAAAGTGCATAGAACTTACAGGAACAGTTTTACCACCCAGGTCAAGAAATAGGACAGACATTACTTGTGCCTCCAAAGCCCCTTCTGAACTCTTCTCATATACTTAACAATATAGTTAGTTTTGTCTGTCTTTTAAAGTTAGATGAATGGAATCATACTGTGTGAGTTTTGTGCCTGGCATAATTGACTCAAAATTGTAAGATTCACCCATGTTGTTATATGTAGCAAAAGTTGGTTCATTTTTTTATTGCTGTCACTATTTGACATATGGGGTATATGTGCAAATACCCCCATAGTCTATCCATTTTATTATATACAAACACATGAGTTGTTTCCACTTTTTGGCTATTATGAACAGGGATTCCAGAAATATTCTAGTCATGAGTTTCTCTAGGGAATATACAGCAGAGTAAAACTGAGTCAATTTTTCTAAATTTTTTTCTTAAAATTTAGAACATATAGACCAATATATGTGGATTTTAGAAATTTTCCCTTAATATTTAGAGAATAAGGATCAGTATCTTGGTAACAATATGGCAAACATGCTATCCTCCCTACAGATAGCCAGTAATAAAATCCTTGCATTTAATAAGTGCATACACACATACATACATAAATATTTTTTCATATCTTTTTTACAAAAATGTTATCACTTTATAATCTCATTTGTAATCTGCTTTAAAAAACCTTTTTAAGTGGAATCATACTGCATATTTTTAAAACCTTAAACAACATTCTGTTTTGTATTCTGCATTCTTCACAGGTTCTTAATACAGCATGAATGCCTTTCCTTGTTTACCTATTATCTAATACCATATTTTAGTGATTGCATAGAATTTCATTTACCTGTACATACCTAATCTTCTATTAGAGGATATTTAGTAATTTTTCCCCAATTTTTCACCATCTTAAATATCATTAGATCCAATTTACAGATGTCTATGGGCGCAGTTTGGATTCTTTCTTTAAGTGCCTAGAAGGAGACTTGCTGGGCAAAGTACGTGTACTTTTTTAAGTCTTTTGATGCATGAGGCCCAATTTCTCTCCAGAAAAGTCGGCCTCAGTGAAAGGGGCTCTTGATCTCTAACTAGAGGAGCCCCTGGGCCAATTCACTGGTTCCAGTCTTTACTCTTGGAGGAGGTGGCAGAGGAGGGAAGGGGACAAGTTCCAGCCCAGCCAGAACTGACCCAGGGAGATATACCCCCACCTCCCCATTCCCAGCACCCCTGTGCCCTCCCTCCAGGTACGTAGCCCGGGACAAGAGCAAGCTGACCCAGCTGGGCATCACCCATGTTGTGAATGTTGCTGCAGGCAAGTTTCAAGTGGACACAGGTGCCAAGTTCTATCACGGGATGCCCTTGGAGTACTATGGCATTGAGGCAGAAGACAACCCCTTCTTTGACCTCAGTGTCTACTTTCTGCCTGTTGCTCGATACATCCGAACTGCCCTCAGTGTTCCCCAAGGTGAGCTGCTGGGGGAGGGACTGAGGCAGAGGTAGGGGTGAGGTGGGGTGAGGCCTGGGGCTCTCCATTTTTCCAGTACCACTGATAGGTGGAGTGTCCTGAGCCACAAACCTCTCCAATGACCCTCCCACCCCACGGGGCAAATAGCAACTATCATTTAGTGAGCACCCCTTCAGAGACACTGTGGAAACCAACAATCACAGACGTAACTAAGGTCCAGTGTGGTCATCGGTATAACCATATCCCTCAGTAAGAGACTGGGGGCTTGGGAAGAAAGCACAGGACCAGCAAAGGCCCTTGAGCCGGCTCCTCTAAAATGAAGCCTTGGTGCAGGGCTGCAGGGACAGGGGAGGGGGCAGAACCTGGGGGAAAGAGAGACAGGTAGGCCGCCCCCATAATCTGCCACAAACCCAGGGGGTTCCAGGAGTGCTATCCTCCCCTCACTCCCACCAACTCGCAAGAGTTGCAGAGGATGCCAGAGGAAGCACCTTGAACCAGGAGAAGGGAATCCCAGCTGCTCACCTTAGCTCTGCCTCTCACTTGCTGTGTGACCTTGAGCCAGTTCCTCTCTGGGCCTGAGGTGCCCCAGCTGACAGTGAACACAGGGTCCATATCCCAGGGTACTGTGATAGGTGGGCTGAAGGATGTCCAGAAGCATCTCCGATTCCCAAATGCGTGCGTGGTGTGAGGGCAGGTAGCTGACACTAGGTTGGGTCTCCCTACAGGCCGCGTGCTGGTACACTGCGCCATGGGGGTGAGCCGCTCAGCCACGGTTGTCCTGGCCTTCCTCATGATCTACGAGAACATGACGCTGGTGGAGGCCATCCAGACGGTGCAGGCCCACCGCGATATCTGCCCCAACTCGGGCTTCCTCCGGCAGCTCCAAGTTCTGGACAACCGACTTGGGCGGGAGACGGGGCAACTCTGACCTGGTGGACAGCCAGGAGCCCTGACCCTCTGGCCAGCGTGGCCCAGCCCAACCTGCCTGGCCCTGGGGACAGCAGCCTCTGCTGTTTCCAGTCACCTTGAGATGTACATAGCAAGTGGGCTTAGCTGAGGCCGAGACAGGGGGAAATGGGTGGTAACCTTTAGCAGGTGGATTTCCCTGACCCAATCCAGAGATTCGTTATGCAACAGAGTTCAGTCTGTCTCTATAATAAAAGGTTGATCGTCATAAAGACAGGAGACCTTCTGGTGGTTTGTGGGGTGGTGGCTCACTCAGAAATGGCCACGATACTCCAGAAAGCCTGCCTGCTCTGATCCAATATCGTAACTCCTAGGGGAGGAGCCCGAATCCCTGTCAAGTCTTCATGAAGAAAGAGGGTGGGTGAGAATCAGTTAGTGACGCTGCCCTTGGCTGCAAGAGGAAGGAGTCGGGTACAAGTGCTCAGAATCAGCTGACCTTTCTCCATCTCGTCCTCCTCATACCATCACCTGAGAGCTATGTTGCCTGGACAATGACCAAAGTTCGGAGCATCACTCTCCTCTCTGTGCCTACCCTATCAAAAAGGGGCAATCACAACTCACTGTGCACAAGCGGTACCTCTTACTCCAGTCAATCTTTTCATTTACACCCTACTTTCAAGAGGACTGACTAAAATTACAGACACCTAGAAAACAGAGGCATTAAACAAGGAGGTAGGAAATCCTAGGTGAAGGACGGCTATATGATGGCGCTAAACATTTAGCTCTGAGTTTCTTTGTTCTAAGAGCAATTGATGCCTTAATGAAATATAAAAGCCTGCAAGATTCCTCACCTGTAAGTGGAACAAGGTATTATGAGGATTAAATGGGCTGCCTTTCCTTCTCCGTCGCTGGTTGCCCTTAACTAGCCCTTGCCTCGTCCAGCTGACCTGTAAAGGTCAAGGCTTCTCAGGCTTCTGTTTTCTCCCATAGGGTCCCTGCCCTCCGGGGGGATCCTCTTGCTCCCACAGCCTCAGTTCACATCTCTAGGTTGATGACTCCCAGACCTCTATGCCTGGCCCAGTTCTCTCTTCTGAGCTCAAAGCCTCCGTATCCCACTGCCACCTCCATTTGAAAACTGCCCTTGAGCTTTAAACTCAGCTGAACTTTTAATCACCCTCCCCCACCCAGACCCACTTCTCAACTTCCTAGTCTGACAGCTACTGTTACCCAAGTCAGTGATGGGTGTCCCATTGGACTCCTGTTGATTCATCCAATTAGCCTATTGATTCCTCCTCCTAAATACAACTTGGACCTGCCCACTTAACTTCATCTTTGTTGTGACTCTTCAAGTTCAAGCCAACCTCACCTCTCACCTGGATTCTTACAGCAATCCCTGTCTCCCACCTGGCCCCTCCAATCTCCATGTGGCTTGCAAACACCTTACTAAAGTGAAAATCTGATCATGCCACTCTTGTGCTTACAACCCCTGAAGTACAAACACCTTGATAAAGTATAAAGATGCTTCATTATCTGAGAACTTCTCATACCTCCAGTTGTATTTCTTGCAATTCTGGTCCCATACATATCACGTAATTAAGGAAGAGTAAGTCCACTCGCACCACACTCTCAGACCTCTGGGAATTTGCAGATGCTTCTGGTTGCACCACCTGAGTGCACCCCTCTCACCACCCTTCACTGTGGTCTCCTTGAAGTTTCAGTTTAGCTGTCTCCTGGGAAGCACTCCTAGAGCCCCCAGCCTGAGAGAAGTGCTCCTCCCCAGACTACCAAAATGTTCATCCACCCCTTAGGCTATCCTTTGTCACTCAGAATTATAAGTGCCTGGTGCCTTATCATTCTCTTCCAACGGCTGTCTCTGACCAGGCTTTTCCAGGGCTCAGTGTCCCTCCCCGTGGCTCTGCGCACTCTCTGGCTATGACACTGCATCAGGAAAAGCTCTTGTGCTTTCAGGGACCAGCAGGCACAGGTTGGCATCACTGCCACTCAGTCTTCTCCGCAGACGCCACCAGGGGGCGTGGACCCCCGCCGGCCGCAGGACTGGGCTTTCCTCCAGAGCGGAGCTGCTCTCCTCCCAGCTCCATCTGCATGCATCTCAGTGTTCGGTGACTTTGGTGCTCTCTTCCTAGCTCATCCTGTCCCCTCAGGCTACCTTTGACCACCCTCCCCCCCACCGCGTCCGCCACCTCCTCCTCAAGGCTTTCTGGGGCCAACTCTGCCCTCTCTTGGGGGCTGAAGGGGCTTTGCCGTTCCCTGCCATTTGGTCAATTTCCAGAGAGCAAGCACTTTTCCTTTGTTCAAGTCAAAAAAGGTGCCCCCCACCTGGGTAAACTGGCCTTTCAGGCAGAATCCCTCCTGGGCTTGGTCAAGGAAAAGGTGTCTTGTCCTCCCAAGCAGACAGAGCTCCAAGTCAGGGAGCTCAACAGAGCGAGCTGAGTGCAAGTTGTGGTTTAGCTCCCCCCACCCCCCGCCCATTCACTCCTTCTGCAATTCATAAACTGTACAAACATAGGCCATCCGGTTTGGGATGTAAGGGTTAATAGCCCCATTTTACAGATGAACAAACTGAAATGCAGAGAAGATGAAATGGGGCTGGAAGGCTGCAGCCTGGATCTAGGGTCTCTGGGCCCTGGCTCAAAGGGCAAGTACTGCCCCGTCAGCTCCTGTGCTCTCCTCCCTGCAGCATTTGATTGGCCCTGATCCCAGCTCTCTGCTGGCTGCCTCAGGTGCTCTCAGGGCCAAAGCTGGGAGATGGCAGAAGAGCTGTTGCTGCTGTGCCCAACAAAGCAGGTTCCCTCTTCAATCCAGGAATTGAAAACCATTTTCTGTTCATCTTCCAGTTGTTGAGGCCTATAATTCTCCAGAGCAGAGAGAGCTAGTCCCCACTCAGCAGCTGAATCTGCCCACCCCCGATTCTCTTGGATCCCCTTTCTGCCTGACAACTCAGCCCTTGCTGCTATTTCTTGCTCATGCACTGTCAGCGGGGCCCAAAATAGTGGCTCCAGAAGCCAATCTCTAAATCAGCATCTGGGTCTATGAGTGTGGGCCACCGGCCTCTGCTGGCTGGGATGAGGCGCCCACAGGTTGAGACGGAACAGTACCCTGAGGCTTGAGTTTCAGCAGGTCACTTTCTTGGGATGCTGAGAGTTAGGCTCAGAATCTAGGGCTGCCCGGGAAAGAGAGAGTGCAAACCTGAGAAAACAGGTCGGAGGAGAGCCAGACATTTTCCAGAGCACCCCACAAAACAGGAATTGAACTCCAGATGGGTACCTCTGCCGGGAAGCTTTCCTGCCTGCTACACGTGCCCCAGGAAGTCTGTGATGATGCGTCTACTTGCCCTGTTTTCTAGAGCAGCCTCATGAAAGGCGTGGGGTATTTTTAGGAGCATGACTTTGGAGCCAGATTACCTGGATCCAAATCCTACCTCTGCCTTCGATCTCTCCACACCTCCATTTCCCAATGTAACATGGAAGTAATAATAGCTACCATATAGGGTTGCTGTAAGGATTACATGGCAGAAGATAGAAAGTTCTTTGGACAACATGTGGCAAGCTTTCAAAAGTGAGATCTGTGATTATCATCATAGTGCATAGTATAGGGCCTCGTGGCATCATCTGCTGCTCAGAACCTTGGACTTTTACTCTTGGGCTAAGCCAACTTTGGGGCTAAAAGTTGGTAGTGCTCTCAGTGTGTTGAATAAATGAATAATTAAAAATCAGCTGACCTAAATGCAACATGATATTCTGGATCGGATTCTGGAACAGAAAAAGGGTATAAGAAAAACTGATGAAACCTGAAATAAGGCTGTGATTTAGTCAATAGCATTACACCAATTTTAGTTTCTCTGATAAGTGTGCTGTGGTTCTGTAAGAAGTTAATATTAGAGGAAGCTGGGTGATGGCTATACAGGAAACATCTCTACTGTCTTTATAACTCTCTGTAAATGTAAAGTTATTTCAAAATAAAATTGTAAAACTATTACTGACAATTAATGACTGCTTTGCATATGCCAGGTCCTATGTTAAAGGTTTTAGATGCAGCATTTCTTTTCCTTTTTTTTCGGTTTCGTCCATAATGCTTTCTTTCTTCAGAAAAACACAAATCAAACATAGCAAAATGTTAAGATCTGCCCATATTGAGTTGTGGGAAAGTAAGTGTTTGTTTTATCTTTTCCTTTTTTTGTATTTTAAAAATATTTCCTAGTTTAAAAAGCAAAAATAAATTGACTAATGTTTAAAATTAGAAACATCCTAATCTAATCCATCATTATATGGATTTTAGGAAGTATTCTGAATAAAATGGTAGCATTAGTACTGGTACCTAAAATATTGCAAACTCACACATTATCCTTTTTAAAACCTTCAAGAGGCTTTATTATGGATAATATTGCTTCAAGAAAAGGTAATGATGACCCAGTTTATAGTGTGTAGATGAAATAACTGCGATTAAAGGGAAGCTAAACAAGCATTCAAAAGATACATTATTTCATTTAATCTTATCACCCCATTATACAGATGAGAATATAGGTACAGAGAGGTTAAGCCAGATAGCAGCTAACTTTAACTGAGAGTTTATTATGTACCAGTGCACAGTCACAGTAGGCGAATGGCTCTGAGGAACACAACTTTATTTCTCCCTCACAACACAGGTTGATGGAATGTGGGGGCAGCAAACATGGAGGGGATATAAGAGGCCAGATATATCACTTCTCTTGTAGTTCCATGGCCTCGAACTCAGTCACATGGCCACACCTAACTACAGAGGAGGCTGGGAAATGTAGTCTAGCAGGGTGGCCAGGAAGAAGAAACTGCAAATATTCGTGATTATGAGCGGGCTTTTCCGTAACAGATGTTGATATGAGACATAAATAATCATTTAATTCTCATAAGCCCTAAGGGGTAGATGCTATTATTAATATTCCCATCCTACAGATATGGAAACTGGGTCTCAAAGAGTTTAAATAAACTTCCTCAAATTTATTCAGAAGTGATAGAATCATAATACAATCTCAGCCAGCAAGTCTGTTTCTTAACTGTTTCATTCTGGGTTGGCCTTAGTGACTTGCTTACCATTAGATTCTACGACAGAAGTGGCATTCAGGAACTTCTGAAGGTGGGTCATAGGATGCCTGTAATGTCTGCTGGGGTCTCTTGGAACACTCTCTTTGGAGCCCTGAGCCACAATGCAAGTCGTCTGACCACCCCAAAACTGCTGTGCTAGGGAGGGCTTGGGCAGGCCAACTGGTTGACAATCTCAG